GCTAGAATCAGACAGAAACACCTCATCTATAATATATGAGTGCCGTATTAAGCATTTAATTTTTCACACACGCACAAGCACACACAAAAATTCAGGCTTGGAATGCTTTAACAAAAGGATTACAAACATATTCCTAGTGTTCTCGATCAAAACCATTCCTGTTTATATTTAGGACTGTAAAAGAACAAAAAGAAATAAAAAGTAAGAAGTACACACATTTCTAGCATTCAATCAAAACCTTTCCTGTTTAAATTGAGGACACTGGAGGAAAAAAGTAATCCCATCTCTGCAGAATCCACTCCCTAGCTCTGCTATTGTGCCTGAACGCTACTGAATAAAGCATACGGGCTGCTATTTACCAGTTGAGAGACACTATATATCATACATATTACTTCACATGATGGCAAAATCTGCAGGCATCTTGGGAGGCTTCAGGAATATGAAGCCTGTGCCTGTTGTCTCAAGTCCTCGACAAACATCTTTGGGGACAAGCGGTGCCTGGAAAGAAAGGACGAGAAGGCACCGTTTCCATCTTGCTTTCATCTAAGTCACTCAGTCAACCATTCAGTGCCCCATTCAAAGCCGCTGTGCATTATGCAAAAAAATGCTAATCCTTTTCCGATGCTTTTTACACTTGTACAAACCCTGCATTCCCTTTCCTGAAAAGCAATTATATCAGTTTACATTTCTGTCAAAAAACAGGATTACTTCAGGAGAACTAGCACTGCAACAGGCTTCCCCCCATCTATAGCTGAAGGAAAGTAGAGATTATCGGCAACAGTATTTTTTTTTTCCTCCTCTTCCACTCTCCTCAAAAAAAAAGTGGAGAGGCCTTAAGAATGTGATTTAATTAGCCAAAGGGAAAAGAATAGATCTTTAGTTGCTGTGGAAACTCTTTCTGACCTGACCTTCTCTTTGCAAAAAGCCCCGAACAGAATGAGCCTCAGTCTGGTCTATTAATCAGAAACAAATTATGAAAGAATGTTGTCAGCCTGAATAATGCTGCCCATTCTGTGGTGAGATCAGCAACAGCCTTCGCTCTTGCTTTCATTGTCTTTCTGCGCGTTTGACAGCCCGACATGACGAATGAGATCAGGAAGACCCCGGATTTGCATATGCAAATTCCCACATGAGGGAAACGTGTCTAAACAAGTGTTACCGCGAGGCAGATTAAGTAAGCCGTCGTGCTTTTGCTGTTTTTTGGGGGCCACCGCCGTAGTCAGGGCCATTAGTCAGCACAATTAACCCCATCTCCATGGCTACTAATGAAATTTCGCCATGGTACGACTTAAATTAGATAGCTGGTTATGTGTTGCCACCGTCCGACTCCAAATCCATTATTTGCCCCAGGAACAATGAGCCGTTTGTGCTCAGCTGATCTTCACCAGCTGAACAAACCTCTGAATTAACAATTTGCATATGTTAATAAAATTGAGTCCTAATTACATGAAACTTGTACATATTCAAATGCACTTTCCCTAGGCGCTATGGAGCTTGAACCCCATCCAAGTGTTTAACCCTTCAGAAAGCCTCTAAGCAGGGGAGGCTCTTTCTGCCTCAGAAATGCCTCGGGGCTGACACAAAAAGGCCCCTCTTAATACATTAAGCCAGCTCCTGACTTCTCAGCTTTCCACCCACTGCTCTGTGGACCGGGACAAGTACTGCATCCTCCGAACCAAATTCAATTGGGCCCACAACAAAAGCCCTATAGTTCCTCTAACAACGTGACAGTTTTCTCAATGTTATCTATGATGAGTGCACACACAAACACACACACACAGAGGTTATTAAACAGTTAATGTGCTCAGGAAACCACAACAAGCACTGGCAATTGAGTACATAAAATACAGAGCTAAAATAAGTTCTTGATGTAAAATTCAGAAGGACTTCTTCAAGAAAATGACAGGGGAAAAAAACTGACAATATCTTATCGCAACGGCATTAGGCTTTTGAAATCGTAACAGACAGGGAATCTTAAAGGAAATCATACAGTCGCAGCCAGATTAAAAATGCCTTTGTCCTGCACCATGTACATTTGTTTTCCTTCTGTGCCGGCAAAATTAAATTGGTCTGTTCAAAGGTTGATGAGACCAAATGGGAAAAAAAATGTTCTATCACATATGAAATTCATGCCGCTCTGTGAAGCGTAGCCCAGATGGTGAGAGATGAATAACAAACAAACACCTAATGATAGACAGCAGAAAGCTCAGAGGACTGTGATAATGTCAGTTAAAGAAAAAAGAAAAAAAAAATCTTTCCTGCTTCTTCTCAGTATTGCTGACCAACAACGAATTTCCACGACTGCAATGAAATAAATAGCAAGCCGTGCTCCAGTGAATTGAAGCTCTTGGTGCTCTAAATGGTTCATATCACCACATTCGAAAATAGAAACCGTATTTCCCTGTCTAACCCCGTACAAGGCCTTCACAGAAAAAAAAAGGTATATTGCAGCATTTTGGGGAGAAACTGATACCAGCAGTGATCACTGGCCTTGTGATTTTTTTTTAAGATAGATGCGGTCAAATTTGTGCGTATATTATGAGTGTGTGTGTGTGTGTGTGTGTGTGTGTGTGTGTGTCTCTACATGCATGTGTATGCAAACATCAGTTTGTGTGTGTGTGTGTGTGTGTGTTTGAATGGGGCTTCTCTTTTACAACTATCAATACCAAGATAACCACGTATTAGCATTCAACCGAACACGCAGTCATCTCTCAGCCTTTTAGCCAAATTGGGTGTCTTAATGTCACAAAGCAGTGGCAGTCAACCTCTACGTGTTGCCATAGGAGTTTTGGTACTGAACAGCAGAACACTGTGATAGGCTTTTAGCAAGCCACTCCGCAGAGGCAGATTTTAAATCATCCAGCCTCTTCTATTAGACTTGAGACTTATTGAGGTAGAAACCATAAAAAATTAAGAAGGGAAATTTAATCCCTGAAATATTGATTTGCACATTAATATCATATAGGCAGTGGGCAATTTGGCTTCATGGAAATGACACATTGTCGACCCTAGGAGAAGCCTCAGCCAATCTTACTGCAGAACATGTCTCAAGAGTTATTAAATGCTCCTTGCGTTGGCTTCACGATATTGCGTGCTGCCTCTAATCAATCTGTACACTGTACGAAATTATGTGGACACAAAAACGCAAAACATCTGAAATTAAATCAAAGCACGCTTAATAGATCCAGATGCCTTGTGGTGCCATAAAACGACTCCATTTAAATGAACATTTCTAATTACATTAATGCAACAGAATGCACTGAAACACATCTTTTCTAAACCTTTTGTGTCTTTCTGTGACAGCAGATCTCAGACACAACCTTTTTTAAAAATAAGATTTTTACATAACAGTTGCTGTCACACAGCAACAAAATTGCTGAATGGAACACAGCCTTTTATTCTTTAATAGAGTTACAAATAATTCAAGCTGAAAATATAAATTTAATACGAAAATAGAGAAAACACTTTTACATACAAGATATGAGTATGTAAATATAATAATAATAATAATCGTGTAATTACTGTAACAAAATCATCTAAATTAAAAAATAAGAAAACTATATTAATGAAAAACGAATCCAATAAAAAATAGATGCAATTCCCGTGCAATTCCAATTTGCAAACAAATCCAGGTATCCACAAAGGATCATATTAATACAAAAAGCGTACAAATCCACAATGTCTAACATAGAAAAATCAAACGCAGCTAATTTAATACACAAGCAAGCAAACATGCTGCCAACGGTAAAAACAACTTGAAAATCCTACAAATACGGAGATCCAGACAGTGAAAATCTGCTGGTTTAGAGAGCAGAGAGCGCAGACACTGCTCTGCCTCCCCACTGCCTGTGTTTTTTCTGTGCTCTCAATGGAAGCGATCGATGCCCTTGTCACTGTCGCGTTCCAATCGGAGCCAAGACTCTGTCTCACACTCACCATCAACCCAAAAGCCAAGCGCTCACACACATGCCACGGTCTTCAATGCCAATGTTTACGTTTTACCACAAAACAAAACGAAAACTCAACTTTTAAAAATCTACCGATCTTACTATAAACTCGGGGACAATTCTCTCAGGAAAAACGTAAAGGGATTGAAAGGAGAAGAGAAGAAAACTTACGGGCAAGACAGAAGACACGAGTAGTTTAAACACGGAATGGGCTTTTTGATGAAAATAGGAATGATTTCGGTCCTTTTTATTCTGTTTTTTACGTATGCCAGCCACGAAGGAGTCCGGGATATGGCCCTCGGCTGCTGTTCGAGTTCAATCCCTCCTATCGTTACCATCATCCGAGCCGCAGCGTGGAGAGACTCTTATACGTTGCAGGTAACAGAAATATACGAAGAAGCATCTTTTAGTTACCTGAGGTGAACTGTGCAGTTTTTGAGTCTATGTCAAGATACATGACGGAAAACACCGGTCCGGAGCGTCGTCGGGTCAAAACGTAGCCTTCGCGTTTCTTACTGTTACAGGATATATTGGCGGTTCTCGACACGTTACCTTTTCGAACAAATGTTTTATAAAATGTTATGACTTGTATTGTTTGAGATGTAAGATACGCAATTTGGTCAAATGTAAGGAAGCCCTGCTGTTTATCGTTTGCTGTGATGAGGCGAGTCCAACTCCAACACAACAGCCGCGAGCGTACAAATCTGTCCACTTTTTACTCCGTATCAGCGAATAACGGTAGAAAATAGAGCGAAACTTAACATTTATGGCGGTTTGCTTGCAAAAGAAACGAAATGGAGTCTGGAAAAGGTTTACGGTAGATACGGTAGGACAACATCGCCTGACAGTTCGCGGCTGTTCGGCAAAACGACTGTTTTACAAACTGAGAGGAATATATTTAGGCTGACATTTGTCGAAATTATATCACATGAAGCCGTAATCCGACAGCGGAATAGCGCAGATTCGGCAGAACTAGTCGCGAAAGAAAATCAATACTCGACCTAAATTTAACACCAACTACTCAATAAAAGTTGAAGGGGAAAAAAAACTTACTTTCTTCCCCCGCAGTTCCCTCCGCTTCTTCTCTTGATATTTGCTTTTTCTGAAGAAAATCACATCCAATGGTAGCGCAAGTAGGTAACAAAAAGGATAAAAAGAAAAAAAAATGTAACAATAATCCTCCAATTTTATTGGAAAAAACGTAAATACTACAGTAAGAGGCGATCCTTTGGGTCCGGTTGTGTAAAAGATGTGTCGACGACTGCCTGGCAGTTTCGGTTGTGGAGGGTTTGACAGTAACAAATATTTTAGCCAGTTTTTAACTTTTTTTTTTTTTTTTTTTTTTTTTTACTTTTTTTGAGTCATACCTGTAATCAAAGCTCTTTATTTATTTATTTTTAACCAAACATAAATAAATTCACAAATGTTCAAGACAACGTGTTATAAAAGCCTATGTCACTTTTAAAATATTAATTCTGCATGCTGTTATTAAAAAATAAGATTAAATCTGATTTTGTTTGTACTGCAGTCGGCCTAAATATCATGTACTTTTAGCAATGCTTCCTCCTCGATATTTTTTTGTTAAAGATAGAAATAATGAATCACTCGAGACGCTTCGATTTATGAAAATGTACAGATTTCGAAAAGCAGAAATATGCATTTGGACACTAGTGTTCCAATAACATCCGTTTGCATTGTAGGGAATACATTTTTTTTTTAATTATATTAGAAAACAACACGACTGAAATGGCAATTTTTGCTATTCCCATAGTACAGTAGCTACTAAAAAGAAAGAATGAAATGCAACGCAAATGAAGAGAAAACATGAGAAAGACATAAATACTATACAGGTGTCGATTATTACGATCTGTTATCCGCGTGACGTAAAATGTCAATTTCTGAGCAGATTAAATGGACAAATCGTATCAGTTGTAAATTCTATGTATTTAAAATTATTTTCAGTTACTGTAGACTATTGTAGCCTCGTGTATTGTATTGTACGAGAACATGCAGATGTGAATATCATTTTGCTTTTATAAGAGATTATTTAATGGCACATTGTATAACTACGCATTTCTTTTGCAAACAAAAATTATATGTAACGTTAAATTAGATTCAAATAATAATTCGCAGAATATTTATCGACAAGACAGTGTTAAAAATAAACCTCAAAAAGTACACTGCTTGACAGTAAATGGGCCTCGGAATTAAAGCCTATAGTAACCTATCCCTGGCTTTGGCATATGAACTTTACATCCTTCTATTTCACTCATCAGGCGTTTAGTTCATATTCAAACACGCATGCAAATGCTCCGATTGATTAGCCAGTTTGGATCTTCTAAAATGTCGCCATTGAAAGGAGACCCGACAAGATGTTAATCGTAAAGAAAATCAAAAGATCGGCTCTCCTTTATGAAAAAATCGAAGGGGTTGAATTGAGCGAGGCGCTGTTTCCAGATCGCACGATAAGGATGCTATACCGGAGCTGTCTTTGCAGTAAAACACGAGCCCTCGGATTGGCATGTCTACTGTGGGTCTTTGGATGGGCGAGAGGTGGTCAACAGAGGCGTTACTTCTTCACCCCTGATCCACTGTTTCTAGTCCTCGGGGGACTCATGCCTGCCAGACCCAAGTGCTGTTTCGGCAGGATGAACGAGAGAACAGAAACAAGACCGAGACGAGCTTGCAATAGGACACGGAGAGCTTCAGATTTTACCTTCATATAAACGCAAAGCAAATGCGGCGGAGTAAAGGTTATTTGCCACTGACGACTGTATTTCTGCTGCTCACCGCGGAGGACTTTAAAACTATTGATTTAAAGGTCTCGCCTCTTATGCAAGTATACTTTGACGGATACATTTAGCGTAGTTATAAGAGTTGTGTTGTCTTTTGAACTGTTTTGGGCTGTGAAATGGAGAAAGTGGAAGCTACGTGGCTGATACAGTGCTTATCTTAGTCTGCGCACTTTCAAACGTGCTCGTGTCCACCCTCGTACTTTCTGCTCTTCGTTCTCTCTGACGAACATCGCTTTGTTTGCGTATCATTTAATCTTAAATTAATTAAAGATTGTATTTTGTTGCAGTATGTGTTTGAAATTAACAAATATTGAGATTTTTCCTTTTATTTTTTTGTTGTTTGGTAAAAGCTAGCGTGTAGTGTACAATGACTAGCATTTATCATTGGCGATTAGCCTGTTTGTTTATTGTCAAATTTCAATGTATTTTCCTCATTTTCAGCTATATGGCTATATAAACAATATCACAGGCTTTGTTCGGTTTTTATGACATTTTGAAGTTTTGTCTATGAGACGTATCAAAAACTGCATGAATATTGATTTAAGTGAAATGTCAATAAAGCAACCATCATTCAATTCGCGACCTGTGATTTTTTATAATTGTCTTTCTAAAACGTACGATGTCTAACAATGACTTCAGGGTTTCTTTTTCGGTCCTTTGCTCGTACTGAATGAGTGAACGACTGTCCTGCCCCACAAATGAAAGGCTTGTCCAAACCGCCTGGCGCCCTCTGGGGTCTGAGAGGTCACGTTTTGTCAGTAACTGACCCTTTGTAGCCGTATAAAACACTGTCCAAAATGCTTTGCTAACGGAGAATTAAGTCCCATTCAAAATTCTCAACTCTCTCACACACACACTTCAAGAAAGTTTTCACTATTTGTGGAAGACGGGAAAACCTTCGTGCAATATAACAAACGTAGCCGAACATGCATTATCAGAACGAAAACATCTAAATGTATTTAAAACAGAATTGATTAGCTATAAAATCGCTTTTCATGGCACTATTTGGTAAAGTCGGCAAGGCAAGTGTTCACAAAATTGATCACACTGAGAGTAAACAACAACAAAATAGCCATAAAAGTAGGCTACAAACTACGCCGCAAGATTATTTATTTCAAAGTCAAAAGATGGGCTACCGATGTAATTTCCCCTAAAAGACAAATCGTTTCAAACATGTCCCACACTGGAATCTCACAGTTCTCTCTTAAAAACAAGAAGAAAAAGCTTAACATTCACCACAAAAATAATAAGAAAAAAAATCTCCGTCATCTGTAGGCTATCCGATCAGCTCTCGTTTGTCTTTTAAAAATGACAGTTACAATAAAGCGACATATTTCACGTGCAATCTGTTTACATTATATTTTCTTTAGCATTATATATTCCCATCTTTGTTTATAAACGCCAGCTAAAAAGAAAATAAATCGCTTGTAGCCTACCTTTGGTATAAAAGGGCATCCCGGTGTCCTCTGTCTCTCTGATGCTCCGCTTATAGCATATGGAAACTCTTTTGAAAATGCCTAGATTTGGCACATTGTCATTGAAAAGAGCGGAGCGCGGTGATGCTGGAACACAAAATGAGAAATAACTTGGGGATTGGGTGCAGCCTCCCTCAATGCGGACTTATCTAACTTTAATTTCATATACCGCAATGACATGTCATTCAGAATGATTTGAACAATTAGAACGTTCTTGCGATTTTCAAACAGAGTAAGAAGTGCCTCGCACAATGCTTTTGCGCGTTCGTATACAGGCTAGTTAATATTTTATTAATTTGCTTTTATGTATAACACAAACAAATAGGCTACAAGATTGCGTGAACAATCTGTAAACAACGTCGTGGCAAAACCACTGGCAATGTAAAATCGAGATTCACAAATGCTTGTTTGTAAAACACTGGACTTTCGATCAATGTATTGGGACATTTCGATCGATTATATAAACGAAAATCCATATAGCCCACGACACGAGACCGGTATCAGCACGCCTTTCACCTTTCATGAGAAACAAAACGAAGTGGCAGAGAGCAGTAAGAATATAAATAAGCGATTAAACTATATGTATTACATTAGAAAAATACAAAACAATAACATTTGCTAACAACAATATGCAATGTGTATCAAAAATAAAAATAAGGTTTAGTGTTAAAGATTTGTGAGATAAATCTGAATATTTTCGCCTACCTATTTCATTATGAAATAAAGATATAAAATAATTAAAATAATAATAATAAAATAATTCATTGGCATGCTAAATGATGCTAGAGAGTTTTAATAACAGCCGTCAGTATGATCATTCTATAATGTTACAGTTTAGATGTGGTCAATTCACACGAGCTCCCAGCTGCTGGGTCCCGGGATCACGGATGAGGGAGGCGGCCAGGCACGCGGTGCCATTCTGTTTATTTGATAAAGAAAATCAATGAGAGTGACTGTGGACTATTTAGCGAGACGTTTGAGAGGGGAAAATGGTTGGTTGAAAAGTGACTTTAGTTGGCTGGTCGATCTCATCTGGAAATGTACACTAAACTACACTCTCAGAGACACACTTGGTCCTCTCTTTGAGTCCATTCACCCCCACTGCCCCCTCCCACTTGGCCCTTTGCTCCTCGTGGTGCGGAGGTTTTCATTGTTGATCCCTCTTTAATAGACAAACGGGCAGGAGCTGCATCTCCGGTCATCTATCCTAAAGCAGGAGATTCTCCATCTGCTGAGCCCCTGAATGTATAGCCGTCTGTTTTGTTTATTAATTACGCTATATCATTTGAATATGAGTTTTATGTTTTCAAGTATCATTTTCGGTGTAAAATAAATAATAATAAATGAAAACGTAATTGATGATTTAAATAAATGTAAATCATTTATAACTTTAATAATTATTATTATAATTATTAATTAATGTTATTATCATTATTAAATAAATGTAAACAATAAAATAATTTTAATTTATTTCAAAGTAATTAATTATTGCTATTATTTTTTTTTTAATCTGTGGATTAAGATGATTAAGCATGCAAAATCATTCCAATGATCTAATCAATGACACAACCAATAATTAAATAATTAATTATAATTACAAATGAGCCTGCTGTTTGTAACTGAAAAGCCACTGAGACCCTCCCTATTCTGTGATTTTAAGCCCTCAGCACCAGAGCACCTACTGAGCGGGCTGCACTTAAACACTAAAACCAGAATCATTCAGAACACATATCAGTTCGAGCCATCGCCCCTGTTCAGGAGAGTTTATATTTCACTGGGTTATGGCTAATGCTCTAAAGCAGAAAAGAAACTGATTTTCTTCTTATGAACTTTATTAAATTATTTGTCTTTTTGTGTGCTAGATAATTGCATTTCCAGCTTTCCCTGTTCAAATGAGTCTTTAACATGGCTAGATGTTTTCTTCTGCCTCTCCCACATACGTAGTGGTGCATTCTATTTAGCGGATTACCTGGTTACCATTGGTCAGCACA